TTCACTTACCGCTATCCACGAAGTCGGAATAAGTGTGGATGCTGAGCTCGGGGAGGGAGCCTGACTTTTGGAGGTCGTCTGAAGGGACTTCTGAGGCGAAGACATCGCGGGACGAGTGATGACGCCGAATGACTGGCTCTAGACTTTCGTCAGTGGCACGAGAAAGTGGGGAATTGGGTGAAGACACTGAGGTGAGCTGCATCTGCGGTAGGGAATAAGACCGCGACTGCAAGAGAAAGAATGCTTTGTTAACATCAGGACACCTGGACCAACGAAATTTACCAAGGAACAATTGAATCGTTAGTTTGACAGAACCCTTCTGCGTGTGATCCACTTGTGCTTTTAAGGCTAAAACCTAAACACAGTGTGCGCTGAAACTATTCTAAAACCTGTTCACTACCAAATATCGCATGTTAGTTGCTCCAAAAATTATTGTTTGGGTACAAAAGACCTGGTGGAAATTAGTAATAGGTCACTTCAACGATGACTTCGCAAGTTCTCGGGTTACTCAGCCATCAAATAAACCCAGACGAGATTTGATTGTGCTCAAAGTAAACCGAACAAGAGGCCATCATCCTCACTTCGTTACCTGTACAACGACAGAATGTGAGGTAAATGCGGTGCATTAACACAAACTGTCTCCGCGAAAAAAACGGACATATCAGAGCACAGGCTCACACAGGTGAGATCGGGAGAGGCGATGTACAGAGGACACTTTGTCGTCCCAGTGTCCTCGTGTGCAGACACTGGGGCGAGGGTGACAGGACACGCGTCCAAGGTGAAAATGACCTCCCCCGGTGACCGGTGTTGCGCGTCAAAATCGACATTGGAGACGACTGGAGAGAGATCCGCACCACGCGCCATTTCGACAGGAGAGGTGAGGGGTATCGGTTCCAGCAGTCGGGAGGGGAGTGTTAGGGGGGGAACACTGACACCCTCTGGTCGAGACAATGGTGATGACTGACCCACGATATTCTTAAAAAGGAAATAGTCACAACGGCGGTGATTTGTATGACTAAAAGCTGCGAATTCGGTCAGCCTGTCTTTAAATTGTCGTATGAGACTGGTCTTCCCTATATTGCACAATAACTATGAATCAGGCCACAGCTTCCAATAAACACCTTGGCCTAATGGGGATGAATGATGGTTTGTTTTTTAGTATTACCGAAAACACTTAGTCAAATCGACCTATCGGTGGGATGATGTCTGACACCAAGTCTTGGCTTATGGTCAACCAAGCCACCAATCAAGGGGTAAGTTGGCACCAGAAACGCACTTCATCTGACACAATGAAGGTTAGATCTGTTGTGAAATCCCGAGTAAATTCTGAGAACAAGTACTGCTTAAACGACTGCCTAGAGGAAAGTATTTATGGTCAACCGAAGACTGCCTTATCAGCTCTTTGAAAGGAAGCATCACCGCTTGCTTGCTTGCCTGGGGGTACAGCAGGCGCAATGAATAGCATAAAGGCTCACCTCGATGGCATCAAGAGTGACGCTGGGAGAAGCACTGACTAGTTGAATATCCGTGGACATCGCCATGGCTGGTTGCCCGACGGGCGATTTGAGGTGTGGCGGCGAAGGCGCGGAAAGACCTCTGCCAGCGGAGCCCGTTTCAACACAATCACGTCCCTTGCCACGGGAAGACGCTCGACCGGATCTCCCACCGCCGGACGAGGATGTCTTGGGGGACGTCACATGGGAGGCCGTGGAGGACGAGGATGCCGCAAATGCTGACAGAGAGGCTGCATTCCGAGTGCCCGAAGACACTGATCCACCTAGAAAACCAAGATGAAGGCCATCAACGACGGAATGAAGCACCTCCCGGCAACTAGCCAACCGCCCGCCAATAATTGCTTTGGATGGAAGTCGTCTTAGATGAGCAAGTAGATGTACTTAACAAACTACCAGAAAAGCGATTGGCGATGCGTCAAATTTATGGGCTGGGGTTCTCAACTGGTCTGCCTTAACACGGATGTCTGTTTACGTGTAAAATGACGAAAAAATCGAGTGAAACGGCAGTTTGAATTTGGGTTCCAGTCCCCCACGACTGGTACGACACACGAGCGAACACCGTCAACAATATGACCACATAAAGAAGCCAAACAAGAACGGCTATTCCCCCACTCAATCACAACTTCACGGTTTTTTAGGCCATGGAATCAATGGACCTGTGTTCCACGGTTTGCGTGGCGGATAAATGCTATATTACAGTTCGTAACCTGAAGGCGGTGAATCGGGAGGCCTCTGCGGCGTCAGAAAATATCCCTCTTTCTTGCAAGGCGTTGGCTGAGAGGCAGTTTTGAGGAGGGCACCGTCCCCTTTCTGTGCACCGTCGACGGACGGCGTTGGTGCAGATGCATCGACCATGTCTAGTGCGGGGAGCGGGAAGGCGTCGAGGAGGATGGAGGAGGGATTGGTGTTGTTGTTGTTGTTATTATTGGCATTCCGCGGAGGGGGGGCCTTGGTGCTGGCAGCAGTTGAGGCCAACGTGGCCCTTCGAGGCGGTCGTCCGGGACGTCTCTTCTTCGGCGGCTGAGGCGAGGAGGCGGCGGCGGCGGGTGCAACAGGCGATGAGTGGGATTTGGGTGCTGGGGTTTTCAACTGGTTCGACGGAGAAAGGTCTGCCTTCAGGCTGTCAGGCTGGGCTCGAGGGGACGCCAGGTGGCTGGATTGGCCTTCCTGTGAGGCGTCCGTTTCCTAAATGTGCACATAACACCCTACTCTAATAAACTCAGTATAATGAAAGTTATAACGAACTGGGGAGCACAAGTGCTGGCAAATGGGCCTATTTTGTAGAGCCAATAGCAAGTCACTCAAGCCACATACTTCAGCTTAACTTGCTCCAAAATCGTGAGGGTATAACAAAAATCCCTGGATAATCAAACCTGAAGCGATTATACAAGCCGCAAAAGTGTTTTCCTTTTGCAACTTATTAACCTAGCAACCAACGGGAGCCGGGGAGCTTTAAATAACAACGTTACATAAAGTAAGGCACGCAGGATTAGGCGATCGGCATTGGCACAATTAAATCACTCAACAAGGACGGCACTGACGAGAAGCCAATGCCGAGAACTAAGCAACTAGCGTTAAGTTCGACGTTACTGCAAAGCCGCCTATCGCAAGACGTTGCTTCTGAAATTGAATAAAAATTAGACGTCAAATGTGCGAGACCGGATGTGGAATGTTCAGGAGGCAGTTGTGGCGTTGTGGCGCATCAAAATAACTACTGCATTTTGCTTGGGAGAAAGCAGTGAGACCGGTTGTTAGCACAACTGGAGCATTTATGAAAAAAAAAGAAGTAAAGTTCACACCTCGGTCTGTTTTAAGAAACAGCAATCGATGAGCAGTAGTTAAGAGCTCGCAATTATTCGCCAACACACATGTGCGGGTTTTGCAACCAGCACACTAGCTGCATATTTAATACTGCGGTTAGGTGGATTTCCGCGTAAAAAAACACAAGTAAAAATCGTTTTTTTAATGGAAGATGGAAGAGCATCAAGACTGTGCACACGCAAAAGGCAAGTTCTTGCAACGTAGAATGGAAATGTGCGTATGGAGGATGTGGAAGTGAAATACTCGCCTGTTGGTTTGTGAGGGGCGACCAGCGCAGGCACTCGTCGTCAAGTTTTATCCAGTGCTCGGCGCGAGCGTCGTACTTGGCTTTCAACGCTGAAAGGCTCTCCATGTCGAAGGTAAACAGCGGCCTTTGGAAGAGCGAAAAGAAGAACAGGTGAATGAAATGAACATGGGACAGTTCTTTACGTGTGGTTGACTGCTCGACCACAATTAAGGCGGTCCAGTTCGGTGATCGGAGCACATTTTCTTCGCGTGAGGGCACGACGACACCCATGGCCTGATGGATATGCTTACATGCGTAAATTCATTTGCGTCAATCGTATTGACCAACCTCAGAGTCTTAACCGTAATACCCACTTTGTTTCTGCATTAAAAACGCAAGCCTCAAAAGCGCGGGACACGGCGCGTGTGTGTGTGAACCAATGGACGTGCGCCAATCACCTCAAAGCCTGTGCTGAGGGCTTCATGTGGAGTCTCGCGGTGAGCCACCACCGCTGCACCCTAAGCATCGTCACCAACGCCTCAAGTCACGCGCAAGCGAGCCCAAAATACACTGGCAACTGTTTTCTGTCAATTTTAGTTTCCCACAAACTAACACTCAGTATCGATTTCACTTGATATTACGTTCCATTCTTCTACATCCTAAAATTAACCTATCAGCGATGGAGTTTGTGGAGATTCGACGATTTTTCATCTCACTGACGACAGCGGCTCACTCATCACACCCCTCACCCTCTGACAAATCGTTAACCTCGATGTTAAAAGTATCGCGTTCATGTCACACACTCACAACCCGGTTACAACGGGGGAGGGGTGCCGGTTTCGCACGTTCCGACGCGCAAATCTCCGACCAACACAAGACTGAACTACAACTTAACGCTAAATAAGCCCTAAATCATCACACATAATCAACGACAATAATGCAACCAATCAAACGTCAGTCACGTTAATGTCCGTTGACTTCTGATGACTCGTCACATAACCTAGATGTCCATTCTTAAGCACGAGGTTTTTTGGTGTGATTGAAAAGCCATGAGGTAAATGGTCTAGACCTCGACTACTTGGGCATGTCCACACCCTCTAAGTTCTGTGCGCAGCCTCATGTCGATAAAAGGTGTAACGATCATATCCTCGGCCGTTTTAGATTAAGGGACTAAGACAACCAGATCAGACAAATCACCACGTACTAACCTGCCATCTTCGGGATGCAGCCTGACACCAGTGGACAGCTGCTGAAGAGTTGCGACGACATCGTGGACGTCCATACCGGTGGACTCGCTGATCTCCTGAATGGTTACTTCAGAGCGAGTTGGCTGGGAGGTGTCGTCGCCGATGATGAATGGCAACACCTTCGAGCGCCAATACGACTCGTAGGAAAGCCGACCGAGCTCCGAGAGCGGCTTCTCCGGAGAACCCGGCATTCCCTCAATGCGCGACAGCAGGTAGCCTAAGGGCGGGGGGTTGGTAAGGAACAATGACGAATTCGGGTAAAAACGGCAAATAATACACTTTTGGCGGGACTAAATCGAGGAATAATATCGATTACGTGTGATACATGAAGGGCCTAGTGGGACATCAATAATGGACAACAGTGTGTAGCGTTTTTTGCCACAGCACGTGTGAATCAAGAGTCCCACGAAACTTCACTGGGTCGCAGGGCCAGACTTGACGACAAGTACTACCGCAATTGACTGGCGAAAACAATCAGCAATGACATGTGACATGCTTAAATACGCACTGGCCGATCGAAGTGGGAAGCGTTAGCGGCTCAGAATACACCACAGACTAGGGGTTGAGCGAAGTGCCACTTAACCCAAGTCACCATGTTCCATCCATGCCACGCCTCCAACAGGACCAAGCGTTACTTTACGGTCACATGAGCACCTTTTGAATTGATTTTACCCAATGACAATCACCTCAGAAGAGGGCGAGGATTGGGTACTTACTGAAGTCGATGAGGAAGCGGCCAAAGGCCTGTTTTTGGTAGGGCGGTAGCACCATTATGCAGCTCAAGTTGTACTTCTGTGCTGACCTTTTCTCCTTCGAAAAGTAGCCCACAACGTGGTACCCCGACTGGTCGTGCACAGTGACCACGTAGAAGAGAAAGGGCTCCACGTCGTAGTAGAGCGTCTTATGGTCCAAAAAGAGCTTGGCCAAGAGGCAGAGCTGTTGACAGTACAGCTTCGAGGAGTAACCGTCCACCTCGAAAACGGATATATTCTGGGAGCGGTAGATCTCGTTTCCCGGAGGGTAGTAAGAAGTGCACTTGTTCTGCAACAGTTCACACACAAAAACAGATTTACGAGGAATGCGACCAAGGTGGGTAGGTAGGTAAATCTAACGTCTACTTTGACGGGCTTCGTAGATGTGGAAAAGGGCCTACAGCGTAAGCATGAGTGCTCTCGAAGTCGCGCTACTTAAATACCTGCAAGTCCTGACTTTCATTTGTGAGGGACATGTGGCATGAACATACGACAATGGAGGAATGCCAAGCATTCGTGCTACTAGGAGAGGCTCCTATGCTTTGTACGTGGAAAAAATGCAGCGGTTAATTCAAAAGTTGCATTGTTTAAAATCGAAATTAGCTTTTTTGAATGAGTATACATGAAAGCATAAGTCGGGCTTACAATGTGTCGCATGTACACATCCACGGTTTTGATGTACTTCAGGCAGAATTCACAAATGTACAGAAGATTCAACCTAAAATCGGAGAAAATTAATAACTGGCATTTGAAAATACACTGTCGAGTTCTTTAGCCAGGTCGAAATAGATCAGAGAAGCGCCCACACATTACAAGTGACGATGCGGGACACAATAGGACAAGTCGCACGCCGCCTACGTGTGACTCAAACAACCACTGTCTATAATCTACCTTTCCAAATCCGAACTTACGTCAGCCTGGCCGTTGTGTTTGCTGCATTAATTCGGTTTTGTACTTAGTGATTCTCGCTTCAGATGCAGACCGTTATATTTTGTGCGTCTATCGGGTAGATTGTAAGGCCTCAGACCCTGAAAACGCTTCGTTTCTTCCCAAATATTCCCGAAACTGCCACACAGGCTAATAAACCCTGTCACCTCGATAATAACACCACGGTACTCCGATCGATAACTGTCGGAAGGGTTTAACTGGTGATATTTTGAAACTCTATGTGGAATCACAATAGGTGCAAGCCTTATCACCTAGCCCACAAATTACCCTAGTTTTACGAACAACCCAAGTCTCTCTGGACACTTAAACTGTTTTTACGACTTACTAAGCGTGGGCGAGAAGCAAGACAAGATAAACCAGAAAATGTCCGTTATTTATGGCACAAATGCACTTCGCCTTATAAATCGTTGAACAAATACTGCAGGATACGAGACAAATTGGCGTCACCTCGCCACGCCACTTTAGCATGACAATAAGCATTTGGTTCTTCGACTGATAACCAGACAAAAAAAGTGTGTAGCTACATGGATTGAAAGCAGACAAAACATCGGTACTTCAGCGCTTGGCGTTTACAAGTTAATTTTAAAATCGTATTCTAAGGCCAAACCATCGTGTTCGCAAATGCAATTAAACATTGGTTTCTGAGAAATTAAAATAAATAGGATACAACAACGAATATGCCAGCAAGGCAAAGCACAAGAAAATCACGACACATCATTCCATTGCATACGTTGGGAATCAGTGAGTGCTAAGAAAACTCGCTGGCTATTCCGGGTGACTAGACGACAGACGGATTTCATCCAAAACCGAGATTTCGCCCCAATAAAACTTGAAAGTACCCAGGCACACAAAAGCTACCTGGCATATTCAGAAGGATAGGGAGCAGAGTACCACGTGGTGATGCGATACTTGCCCAGCTGAATGCGAGGGGGGAACCGGGGTTGCACTGGGCTCGCGTCTTTCGCCGGTGCGACGTGATTGCTCGCGCACGACGACTCGCTGCTGGTGCTCGCGGTGGGATTCAAAAGACGCGGGTTATTGGCCGGGGGCAGTTGTTTACTGTTTTCCAGGGACTGAGGTAGACACTACGGGGCGGAAGAATGGTAGGCCGATTTATCTCCAATTAAGTATAACCAAGCACGGGAAAAACAAACAAAAAATGTTGCGTAATAGCATTGCTAGCTCAGCTCCTCAGAGAGGCAGGGAAGCCGTCCAGACTCAAATTCGCATTTTTATTATGATCTAAGCCGTCAACAAATGACGGAAAGTGAGCACAAGGGTTAAGGCAGTTTGTTTTTAAGGGCTCCGAAAGGATTAGCAAAAACCATGGTACGGTTGATGTGTGTGTGCGGGTAAAAACATTTAAAAAAAGCGATAAAAAGTTTCAATAACACCCTCAGTGAGTGCCAATCACATTATCAAGGTCCCAAAAAAAATAAGAGCTGTGAAAACCGACGTTTGTAATCCCACCGAAGTTTCCTGGACCACCCGAATCACTGGCGTTTTGCTTCGACACGTACAGGGGACTTGTAATTCACGCTCTACTTTGGCCACACCCCAATTTTTGAATCAAAGACAATAAAAAGGACAGCGGCTTATTTAATTAGTCGACGCATACAGCACTTTAGCGAGCGTGCGCGCACGCGATCACGGAACCACATACCCAAAGGTTCACTGAACGTGTGTGCATTTGCTGGATGTATTCAATACACACTGTGCGGCTATTTAACAGGCCGCGTGTTTAAGCGGCATCATGGTTGGGAGTCAGTTCTCCAGTTAGAACCACCACCACCGCCACCACCACCACCCCAATCACCTAAAAAACTTTCTGCAGCATTTGAGGCCTAAGGTGTGTGTTCAACTCTGCGGCAAATGAGGTGACAGTGGTTTCGTGGCACAAGCGAAAGCAGACATGCTTCTCCGCAACGTCTACTACTTCTGTGAACTTGAATCAGCATTAGGTGACAAGAGAACAGCATGACCACAAGTACAAAGTGGACGAGAATCTCACATTTTGGACTTGGACTTGGATGTCCGAGAAGAGTTTCCGGTCAGCATCGCTGATCGAACGCAATTCCGTGTCCTCCTCGTCATCAGCATCTACGCTTCTTCCGCTGGGGCTAGAAAATATCGTCGCAGAGTCGTTCTTTGACGAGGGTTTACGCCCACCTCTTTCACTGGTTTTTCCAACTCCGTCGACAATGTCCGCAGCAATTGTGTCCATGGTATCCTCCTCGCCCTCATCGTCGGTGTAGTTGGTTGAGGAAACGGACGGCCTGCCGATTCGCCTACGAAGACGCATGACTCCCGTCCGTTCGGGGCGGGTGGCGACGGTCGTGGGCGATTTGCACGTCCGGCATCGACGAGGTCTTTTACCACTTGCAAGTCCACGAGGAGAATGGGATAACGCATCGACGTTTCCACCTACAGCAAGAGTCTTCGTTTAGAAGAAGCACGTGGGTTATTTAGAGCGTCATACAATGTCACCAGGTCGCCGTAAGCACCAAAGGTTTAATTTTAATAGCGCCTTGACAACACTTCGCTTCGAGAACCTTCGTCGCGACCACGGTAAACCCCAAAAAGACACTCCAAAACCCCAACACTTTAGCTCAAGTGAAGGCATAACGTGACACAGAAGGCATCACAACCCAATTTCGTACTACTCTCAAGTTCCCGTAGACGCAGCTTGTCTGCTTTTCACGATAAATTAACGCAGAAAACCGATAGCACCGTTCTGGGAAAGCAAACGAAGCCTTCCCAGGTCCGTGGCTCAAAGATGCGGTGCAGATTCTAGGAGCTTCGTTGTGTGATTTCCTTCGAGAATGAAATAGTTTAACGGTTTACTCATAGCAAAAGGCGTGTTCAAATATGATGCAAGACGTATACATTTACTCAAGAATATCCAACAAGATGCTGGAAAAGAGGAAGCTGGGCAAAAACAGGCGAATAGGGGTGTAACGTTGATTAAAATCGCCACTAAACAATTGCGAAGTTCAGAGATGCGTCGTAACTACAAAAACTTGAACCTGCTTAGTTTGCGACGCGATAAGTTAGCAAAATGGGAGGCGGTTGGATAAAACCATGTTGCGTATTACGAAGGAGAATCTAGGGAATGGTGGAGTGCCCAAATGGGTGGCTAAATGCTTGCTGGAAACTCAACAGATAGAAATGGCTATTTTTTGAAAGTCGGTACGAAAATCTCGGTTCATTAGTTACTGGATAGTCAAACCTGTCTAATAAGGTTGGGGAAAACATTGGGTCATTCCAAACCTGAATAAGCGAGATAGCCGTGAGTCGCCCAAAGCGGGGGGAGAGTTATTTTTGTGGAACCAATGATTATCCAGTTCAAAATTGCTTTGGTGAAACCAAACAGCACATTTAGGCCTGTTTTCCTGCGACATGTGCCTCGATGCACAATAATTAGGGTGGACGGGAAACGGGGAAACACGGGTGCGTCACAAACATCGGAGAACTATACCTCCGGTTGCCGGTGACCGCTGTGAGTTCTCCGGGATGTCAATACGCAGTGGAGAGACAAGCGCAGATAGCCTGGGCCTTTTGGCAGGCGGGGATGAGGCACCGAGGGCGTCCGAGGCCAGACGAGTGGCCGATCGCGTGGTTCGGCCATCCGAGGTAGGCGCGTTGTTCGAGCAAAGAGAGCCTCGACGGGTGACCACGTGAGAGGGCGCCACGACAGTTGAGCCCAACTTCGTATTATTAGGGGCTACAGTGAAAAGTCAACGCAATATGGATGAGGAATGCACGATGGTGGTAGTTCAGGTTAAGGCACAAAAGTAGACAAAAGATGGATGTACAGGCCAAATTTATATCTACAAAGTCCCGTCGACCACTATGGAAATACGAAAGTTGGCAGAACATTAGATAGAGCATGTGTGTTCTAAGTATTTCACTAAGCAGTGTCTCAAATACTGTGTTCGTCTGCCGTGCTGCCGCGAATTAGCCTCCAGAACCACCACGGAAAGTGGGTCTGAGCAATAACCGTGAAAAACGCTTATTGAGGTCTTCATTCTAGCAATTTATGGGTGAAATTGCAAGAAAAGATAATCAGAAACAAATGATTCCTCAAAACGCAAGTCTTCCGTTGATACCCTAAAACGTTTAATTGAACCACGTTTATTGCAGGGATGGAGCACAAATCATAACCACGGTAAACAAAGCTGACAGGCAAAGACAGCCGTAGTTTGTCCTTTTCATTCGTAAAACCCAAGTCAATGAGGCTTATTTTTGGAAAAAAACAAGGCACGACACAAATGACCTCTTCGAAACCCCTACTTTACCTTCCTTTCGTGGGCATGCTTGAAAAAAAGAAATCGGTTGAGAAGTAATTTCCAGGCCCACCTTTTCCCTTTTCCTCGATCTTTACAGCCCAGTTCAGTAGTGTCTTTTGGACGAAAGTTGAGGATTTCTTTGGTTTAAGAGGCACCGATGGTGGCTTAAGCGAGGTATCTACAGGGGATTTGGGTGCGGTTGTTGGGGTCTTTGAAGAGCGTGGAGGTCGACCCCTCGCGGGCACAGCGCCCTTGAGGGCCTTTCGAATAAGCCGGATTTCGTGGTCCGTGAGAACGTCACACACGGCGGCGGC